GTTATATTTAAACAAATGGTCAGGGAAAACAGAAAAACTGAATTAGCAAAGCTATAAATTCTTAAGAGTAATAAAGTCTCAATAAACAGCTGCTTAAGTTTATGTGCAAGATCAATTTCTTTTTTTTTTGTTCATAATGAAGATTAGCAACAAAAGTGTTATTAATTATGACACCACAAATTACATTAAACATTGCAAGTAGTTCCCTTATGATGATGAGAATGTTGTAATGATGAATCCACTTCACTTAAAAGTATTGATGTGTCAGGTCTTGTTGGCTGAACAAATAGTAAACATCCTACAAAAGAACTGAATAATACCTGGTGATCTGAAGGAGCTGTAAGAACGTTAATCTTTCAACAATCAGTCAGAGGACCTATCATAGAGTCTCTTAGGCTAGTAGACCCAGACTTATTAACTGAGTCATCATTGTTATGCAAATTCCCTGACTGTTTCATACTCAATGCCTGTGTATGCATAGCTTGCCAGGAGCACAAGCGAGCATGCAACTCTTTGAAAGAAGGTCTGCAAAAAGGATTTTCATGCCAGCATTCTACCATCATAGCATAAATATGGGAAGGGCAGTTCTCTGGACACGAAAGGAGCTGTCTTGAGCGGATCATATCAATTACTTCCTGGTTATTATACCCATAGTAAGGCTGCATTCCATAGCTAAATGTTTCCCATAAAACCACTCCAAATGACCATACATCACTTTCTGAAGTAAACTTACCATATAAGATAGATTCTGGAGGCATCCATCTGACAGGCAATAAAGATTTGGACTGAACTCTGTAATAATCAGAAGAATATATGTCTCGAGACAAACCAAAATCTGAGATTTTTACCACTAGATTATCCCCAACTAAACAGTTCCTTGCTGCCAGGTCACGATGAACATAATGGTTGTCAGCTAAATATTCCATCCCACCTGCAATCTGCTGAGATATACTGAGAAAGTCTGGTAATTCTAGAATTGGATAGGTATGATCCTCACTGCATCCAACATCTGACTGAGGTGAGTGTGAGATTAAATACTCATGAAGATCACCCTGAGACATAAATTCAAACAACATGCAGGAGGGTTCTTCTCTTGTGCAAGCCCCTAGTAAGCAAACAATGTTAGGATGGTGTAAATCTGACATCAGATCTGCTTCTCGTTGGAAATCCTGCCTAGTTTTCAGTGAGGCATTTTCTTTTAATGTTTTGATAGCAACAGGTATGTTCCCCTTTCCATGAGCACCTATCACCTCCCCATGATAAACCTTCCCAAAAGCTCCTTCTCCTAACTCTTGTAGGAAATGAATAGCTGAGAGAGGATACTCTGTTGCTCTTACTTTTCCTCTGGGTAACAAAGCATTCATTTCTGCCTGCTGATTACTTCCTTTTGGTCTCAATGGCCTAGATAATGCCTTTGTAGAATTGCTAGCTGATAGACTAGGCTTATTTCTCCTCTTCATACACCAAAATCCGAGTAAAAATCCAATAACTGTAACCACGACAATGGTTGGAAGGAGAATGTACAGCCACAGATAGTCCACTGAAATCAAATATAAAGACAAATGGTTATAGTACAAGCTACACTAACAACAGTTTTCACAATATACATACATACACAAACTTTTAAAATAACTTAGTTGAGGCTGAAAACTTATATCAAATTATGCTGACTGATAACACATAAAACTCAATGTACATTTTCCCTAACTTTCTACACTGTAGAAACAATAGAGCTGCTAGTTTTTAGCCTAATAGCAATGTATTCCTCTGTACTCTGTGTACAAACTTTTACTTTAAAGTTGGAATCAGTATGTTTCATATTAAAATTAATGTTTTGGTTAAACCTGACTGATTCTACTACTTATTGCATTTTCATTACTTTAGCTTCAATCATAATAACCATCTTAAACATTGAATATATTGAATAATTTATTACAAACTTACAGAGATTCTGTTAAATTTACTATAATTCATGTAGGAGTTTCTATGTTTCTTGTGACTGCATGTCTTTCCATCTTTAGCATGTATGATATCCATAGAAGAAAGGGCCAATAAAATAGGTGGTAAAGTTTCACTGGAAAAGACATGCCATACAAATCAAATTTTATGTATTAAATACTTCAATCTGTAATGCTTCTGGTGGCAAAAATATTTACCTCAATCAGTTTTATGTTCATTCTTTTAAACTATTTTACTATTTATAACTGAAGATGTAATTAGTTTAAAGGGCAACATAAGGCTGACTGATGAAAATATTTAGCAATTTACCACTAGTGCTGTACTACCTGTTACTGAAGAATCATTTTGGACTACTCAAGCCATGACACTACTAAATCAAGGTCCAGAATTAAGCTGGTCAATTCAACATTAGTCAATAGACAAACCCACAGCCTATGATGAGAAAGTACCACAGGAGTCAAACTAGACTCATAATGGCTGGAGACGGCTTAAATGGGTAATGAAGAAAAACTTTAATATAAGTTTAACATGACAGCAAATGTACAACGTTTCGACAAGGTTTTGTCATCATCAGGTACCTGATGATG